GAGAAGTTAGTGTCTAGCTGCCTACTTCTGCACATCAAAGGACAGGATTCCTGGAAAGCAATGGTGAGGCTCAAAGACCGTGTGCTCTGGAAACAGATTTTGTGGCCACGCCCCCAGGCTGCTGCGGAGTGGGTGGAAGTTGAATCCTAGAATATTATTTTCCTGAGAATAGTAAAATATAAATAAAAACTGACTATAAATGATGACGATAGCATGTCTATTATATTATTTCACACAATATAATAGTAAAAAATCACATATGGAGATACACCCTCCACTGAGTACAAACTTCAGCCTCAGGCTCTCACTGTTTGCATGCATTTAAGCAAGTTACTAAACCTCCCTAGACCTCTGTTTCCTCATCTGGAAAACAGGCATAATCAATAATACCTACTGCACAGACATTAGTTACCTAAAGTAAATGTTATTCACATAAAAATGCTTAGATATTGTCTTCTGCTTAGTAAGCACTCAATAAATGTCAGCAGTCCATTATCATCATTATTACAGAGGTTTTATTCTCTGACCTGTTCAAGCTGCATGATTTCAAATGTAAGGTGTTATCATCATCATCATCGATAGTAATTTTCTTTCCTATAATATACGATTGTTATATTTTGTAATGTATATTGTTGGACCTGTTTGACTCTTCACTGGGTCACCTGACCCTCACAACCACACTGCCACAGGACAGGCGAGCCTCTGTCCTCATCACACAGATAAACTTCCATTTCAGCTGAACCGAGGCAGTTAAGTGACCTGCCCAGGGTCATACAGCTAGGATCCAGCAGCGGCAGGGCTCAAGGTGGCTCCGTCCACCTCCTCCTGCAGGGCTCTGCCCATTACGTTAAGCTTTTCCAAATCCCAGCTTCATAATACTTCATTTCAACCCATACATGTGACCCTAACTGATTTCACAGAAGAACCACAAAGGGAAGAGTGTAACTTGAACACAGACCCACTATTGCAGAGATAAAACAAGTGGGGTTGACTAAGGCGCTTCAATGATGCCCTCATCAAACCCTGGTATCACCACCTCCCCCAGGGCACAGGTGCTCCCAAAGCAATGACAATATAAACCCAGTGGCACTGAAGGTCCCTGAGCAGATTTCTCACCCCAGCACCAGACAGCATTCCCCCTTCCACAGGTTCCCCCCACCTGCTTGCCTTTAGAACCCTCCCTGTTTCTCTCCTAAGGAGCAAACTGCTCTTTGTTCGGGGTGGGGGGCCAAACACACCTTGTTCTTCCTTGCTCCCTGCCTTTGCTCTAGCCGGTCCTCTGTAGGGAAATAGGGAATGAACACCTTTCCCCCAAAATCCAAATGGTCAAATTCTACTTTTCATTAAAACCTTGGTGAAAAGCATTTCCTCCATGAAACATAACTCAAACATACCACTTCACCCATCAAAATAATCTCTGCAACCCAAATCTTCTATCAAATCATTAAAAGAGCTTTCTCTAAACTTATTTAGTAAGCTTTCCCTCTCCTCTCAGATCTGTAAGCAACTCACCCTCCTGGTTTGAGACTTTACACACACACACACACACACACACACACACAGCTCTGTGCACAGACCTGGTGTTCAGTGACTATATAAGAGAGGTGAGCAAAGGCCCATCTTCTGAACCATGTACAGAGTTTCATTTCTACCATGTAACCCAACACAGGCAAATTGCTACGGAGGATCAAGGTATTTATCCTATAAAATTTTTTAAATGAAAAACGAACTTTAGCTTGAAAAGTGCCAGATGAGAAATTAAAACTGAAAATAAATGGGCATAATCAATGAAATTGAAGAAAAATGTTAAAACTTTAAATTCTTCAAATACATTCATTAATTTTTTGTGTTATATGTGTAGACAAGGATTCAGAGAACAAATGATTAAATTAAATTAAACTAAACTAAACTAAATTAAACTTGTCCTTAAAAATATAAATCTCTGCTCAGAGAGTAAACAAATTGATGATAAAAATTCAAACAATCAAGCTGAGTTTTCAAACGAATCACCGTCTTTGTTTACTCTTACCATGACAGGCCACCGTCTATTCCTAATCAGTCTAGATATCTCTTGACCCTTATTATTTATTATCTATCTGGAGAGTAGGGAAAAAGTATGTGTGCTGGGAATAAAAGGATTTTTCCAAACACAGGAGACTATCAAAACATTGTATAAATTACACTGGCAAGGATTCCCCAAAAAATACCAGTGACAAAACCAGAAGGGGACTGGCACTTAGTGACACTGTTCCTGTACTCCTGATATCGGAGCACAGAAGAGCGAATTCCTGCACCCTCCCCACCCAACGGGCCACACTCAGTGACCACTGTCTTGACCCCACTGTGTGGAATTCTGCAGCCAAACATCCCAAGTCCAGCTGAACCCTTTTCTCCATTTTTGTGCAAGGAGCTGTCTATCAAGCCCCCACCTCTGCAGCAATTAAGAGACGAGACGTCCTGATCTGTATGTGTTCATTGTGCATGGACCCCTACCGCAAGTGGCACTGTACCACCGCCTCAACAGAGCCAAATGGCATGTCCAGAGGGGAGTTGGAAGCTTCGACAGCACTGCCCTTTGGTTGATTGGGAGCAGGACACACAGGGTGGAATAGCAATGTTCCCAGATGTGTATCCTGAGGAGCACTGTTCGTGACAAAGATGCCTCTTAAAAAATTGGATTCTGTGGTCAAATAAATTTGGGGAAGACTGTACTCTGAATCTTCCTCTGGGAGTGTCACAGTGCACATTAGCATATTAAAGGGCCTAAGTCCTGCAGCAAAGAACTCTCTAATACTTTAACTCAGCACGTTTCACATTTGTTTGGCTATAAACCTTCCTTCCAGTAACACTCTTACATTTGGGAAATATTTGAAACTACATATAACAGCTATGTGGCCTCAAATCTAGCTATAAGCCAACTCTTGGTTTCCCTACCTAAAGATTGTTGCTCAGCAAAAGGTTAGTGTAAAAACTAAACCAGAAATGGGAGGTTAAGATTTTCTGACAACCAAACTGTAACCTGTCAACTTTACCTTAATATACGGAAAACATTTTTTAAAAACACAAGAGAAAAAAAAAACATATTTATGTCACAGTTAGTACAGTGGTCCACAGCAGTACACTCTTTACAAAAAATAAATTTCCTATCATGGATCCACAGCCCAATTATGTATATTTTTATGTGCAAAGTGAAAGACAGAACAAAGTGATTACCCAAATATTTTGAGTCAACATTTTCTTTCTATTATAATATAATTTTGCCTGTTAATTTTCAGATAATAATGCTTACTGGGTCTGGATATAGACATGGAGGAGAGTGAGGACAAAAGCCACTAGAAAAAGTTATCGTAATTCCCCACTTAACTGTTTAAATAAATGTGTCTAATGTATTGAGCCTTAGGTAGATACAACCACTGGCCATCTTTGAAACCACTAAGGAAATATCCAGAATACCATATGATACTGTTACAGTTGGTAGTTAATTGTAATAAAATAGGAAGCAAGGGAATCGGACATTGTTGAACTTAATGGGCTGGGGAGCATGAGCCTGTTTGCTTAGCCAGGAAGATACAACCTCACACACTCCAGAGGATCACAGTGGTGCCCTACGTGAATTAACACCTCTCCATCCCCCTATCTGGTACCAGCTTGTTGCAGCGAGCAGGGGAAGGTAAGCTCATGTGGAACAGAAGTCAAAATGGTGCAGGGGGAGGTGCTCGACCATAGAAGCCTGTTTGTCAGTCTAACCTGAGAAAGGGATCAATTGGCTAGGCAGTGGGTCCATCAGAAGCCCACTAAAGCTTGGAAAGTTATTTTGAAAAAGCTCCTGGTCCTCCCCAAGCCCAAGATAATATAATTCCAAGGAACAAAAAAGAGTCTACACTCGCTCATGCTCTCTCTCTGTCTCTCTCTCTGTCTCTCTCTCTCTCTCTCTTCCCCTCCCTGACCCATGCTCGCCCCATGCGCTTCTCTTCATAACCATGTGGCCCTAGCAGCTGTGTGGCTGGCAGTCATGTAGGCTTCAAACACAGGCTCTAGGCAGGAGCCTGGATGTGGCAGCACAGCAGCAGACTGCGGCCAGGAACACAAGCTAAGTCAGCCAGAAGACGAGAAGGACTAAGACTGGACTAAGCGTTAACGTGGCACAGACACTCTGGAAACGGGCCTTTGTTTTGACCTTGCTAAAGACATAGGTGGACCTTCATCCACGGCAGGATGGATGGAGATTGGACACCGGGGCATTCTTCTACTTCCACCTGAAGAAATCTTGCCATACTACAATCTCCCGTGCATAGGGTGGGTGAAATGTTTTTCTCTGGATCCTTTGAAAGAGCCCCACTTCTACCAGCAACAATATAATACACTGAAAATTCCCCTAATATTTGAAAATTAATGTTCCCACATTTCTGAGCACCCAATTTACTATGAAGAGATTTAAGCACTAAGGTACGTGTATCAGAGTCTTCTAAAAATCAGTTTCCCCAGACATGAAATAATTTCTAAGGCAAAATTTATAAAAATAATAGATTTCCTTTCTAAATTCAAGCATCTGCAGTAATTCGATTAAAATCCACTCACATTTAGGAAAGGAAGATCCTGATACCACAGAACTGATCTACATTTCAAATTATCAATGTTCAAAAACCTAAAACTGTAAGCCTTGTGCTAACCTCTAAAAGGATTTATTCGGATTTACATTGAAACACCATTGCCTATTTCATTCCTTTAACTCCAACCCATAAAAACACAAATATGCCGAGTTCTCCCTTTCCAAAACACTGTTGGGAAAGTAGTCACACAGCAATACAATCTGAATCAAAGAGAAAACACTCAAAGACTTTCTCCTCCTGAAGTCTGGGGGCGGGGAAGGGAGCTGTTAATGGACGTATTTCACCCTTTGATGTTAGAATGAACAAAGTGAGCTCTCTCCGCTCACTGTGTTTTAGTTTCGTGGTAAAAACCGATCATGTTTTGAAGACGCTCTGACGGCGGTGCCTTACCAGTGTAGATGCTGGCATTGGAAGCCGGGATACCAAACTGTGACTCGATGAACTTGGGAATGAAGGTAATGAAAGCAGTGACAATGGCACTCTCAGCTGTGTATGACAAACTCACAAAAAGGAATGTCATGTTGCTTAAGATCCTGACAGCTGCTCTTGGTAGGTCTACAAAATGACAAAAATGACAAATGAATGTTATAAACCAGGGATGGAAAATAAAATAAAACTGAATTGTTTTTGAAATGAACTGGAAATAGCCATTCAGCAATATTTGAGGTTATTGAATAAAGAATAAAAGTAGAAAAACCTGATGACCAATTAGAAATTATCCCCTTTATTAAATAGATTTGTGGAAGGGTTAATTTTCAAGTAGGGTAAAGTAATTTAATAAAGTATTTTTAAAACATACCCATACACAAATATCCTTACAAGAAGTATCCAACCTATGACTCCCATTTCAAAAACTATTTAAAATAAATTATTTGCATTTTTATTTATTAAAATGATATTATTCTTTAAGATTCCAAAATCTACTAAATGTATAAAGGACCTGCAATAAAATCCTACACTTTGACTTCTGGGTTGCCATCTCCCCAACACCCACAACAGAGGAGCTGGCATGTGATTGGACATCAATCTTTCAGCCTCAGGAGATGATATAGCTAAAAAAGCACATGGTATGAAGCCACCAGGTCAGACATTCCCAGGGACTTTGGGACAAAGTGAAATGACCTCCAAAGGAGAAGGACAGCCCAGAGGTGGGGGTTCAGCACTTGTCCAGTTCCTCTCAAGGAAGAGAGCAGTCCATTCCTTGAGTGGGGGCATTTATTTCACAGAACTTGCCATATATGTGGTTCAAGATGTATGTACAAGTATATTCATGTCAGCATTGATTATAACAGCAAAATTAGGGAGGGGGGGAATACCTAAATGCCCATTGATGGGAAGTGTTTAAATTATGGCACAGTCATATAATACAATATTATGCAGTAATTAAAACTGAAATAAGCCCTGGCTGGTGTGGCTCAGTTGGTTGGAGCATCATCCATAAACCAAAAAGTCAGGGGTTTGATGCCTAGGCTGTGGGTTTGGTTTCTGGCTGGGGTGTGTACAAGAGACAACAGACTGATGTCTCTCTCTGATGTCAATGTTTCTCTCCCCCTCTCTCTCCCTCCCTTCCCCCTCTCTAAAATCAATGAGTATGTTCCCGGGTGAGAACAAAAAAAAAAAATGAAATAAGTTGTATGTACTAGCGTAAAAGAAACTCCAAGAAATATTTTTATTTATTAATAAAGCCAGATGCTGCAGAAATATATTTATGTGTGTATAAATATATATTATGCACCTTTATATAACATATATCACATATATATAATATTTAAGTAAAAATCAAACAAACCAAAAATGTATTTATATATAGTCAAATGTATACCTTTTAACTCATATAGCACCAAAAAATTCTGTTGCATGGAAGTAAGATTGGTAAAGAGGAATAAAAGGAAATTCTTGTGTGTATAGTTTTGTATTTTTTGCATGTTTATAATGTGATCTAACTTACATTCGCATTACCTTTACCTACCTTCATGACAAAGGTAAGCTGCATTACTTTTGACATGTACAGTCATCTCAGTTATCAGAACAGTTTTGTTGTTATAACATAATAAAATCATTTCATAAAATTAAACAACAGTTGTTAAAGGTATAATTTATAGCTTATTCACAGGAATTTAAAACTTAGGAAGGCAAAACTATTCACTATTATCCTCTTTAAATGTAAATTAATTTTCATGTTCTATAACTTAATTTAATTATTTAAAGTTAAATGAACATTTAAAAGAAAAATTAAGATGCAAACAACTTTTAATGTAAAAAACACAACAGAAAAAAATATAATCAAAGTACATAAAATTACCCAATTTCCTCTTATAAGCACTGCAAATCAAAATGCCATATCTAAAATTTTAAAAATTAGAAAGTTAAGATTTCATATTAACATTTAGAGATTCAGTCATTATACTAAGTTTCATTGTTAAACACTAGCTTGAATCCGAAACATCTGGAAAAATATAAATTATTTTAATCCAAGAAGATAACATATATATCACATGAATATTTTAAAAGATACCATTTATATAAACTGGTTTTTCTTTTATACTCATTTGGTATGGTAAAATAACCTTGTAATTTCAAAGGTAACTAAAAATACATGTGATGTTTCTCTCTTCTTTCATTTAAAAAAACTTGCTGTTATTTAAGAAGAATTTAGCAAAAGTTCAGACTTTCAACAACTTTTAAGTTATCTGTTTTTCTTCCACCTTCTTCCTTCCCCTTTGTGGGGCTACCTTTTAGCCCACATGCCCTGCAGGAGTGGGGGCCAGGTGTCCGGGGACATGTCTTTGGCTGGGAGGACTGGAGGTTTGTTTCCGTGTAGGGGTAGTAAGCTAGTAAATGCAGATGTTGAAATAATGGGAGATGGTTTTTTAACTGCCAGAAAAGGGAGTTATAAATATTGAAAGGGAACAGTTAGATATAAGATTAAAACTGCAGGTATTGGCATGGATTCACCAGATGATAGATAGATGGATATATAGATAGATGATAGATAGACAGATAGATAGATAGATAGATAGATAGATAGATAAGATGATAATCAATGATAGATGATAGACTTTGTGTCTATGTGCGGGGCAAAACTAGGTGAGTGTGTAAACTAGTTTATTCTTGCATTGTTTATTAATTATTGTATCATTTCATATGAACAACTATAAACCTACTTTTGCCCCACACTGTATATGCATCTACTAACTCTGTCTACTGGCAGAGCTTAGAAATAATGAGCCTGGTAGCAACGAGCCCACCTCACACCCAGTTCTTGGTTTCTCGAGAACCAGAGCGCCTTGGAGAACTGGCTAACTTCAGAGCTGGGGCAGAGAAAATACAAGATGAGCCTGGAAAGTCTTGCTGAGCAAAAAAGTAAAGAAGTACTCAAAGAATGATGGGGACATGTCAGAAAGACAGCATGAAGGATTCCCAGTGGCCAAATGTGGAACAATTCGTTCTCAATTAATGCTAAAAACGGCAAGTGGAAGTACAATAGGAACAAGATACAGTCAATCCTTATTATTCACAGATCCAGCATTTGCAAATTCACCAGAATTTCTTTGTGTCTGTAAAATCAACACTGGCAGCACATGGACTATGGAGGACATGCACAAAATGGCAAAACATGGGAGTCGCAGGACACGCATTCTTGGCTGGGCTGCACAAGGCCCTCTTGTCTCAGCTCTCATACTACAAACAAGTGTCCTTTTCACAACCCATTGTCGCATTTTTTGCATTTTTGCGCTTTTGGTGATTTTATTGTTTAAAATGTCCTGCCACCCCCAAGCATAGTGCTGAAGTGCTGTGTAGCGTTTCTAAATGCAAGAGGCTGGGATGTGCCTTCCAGAGAAAATGTGTGTGTTAGATAAGCTTCTTTCAAGCAGGAGTTACAGTGCTGCTGGCCATGGGTTCAATGTCAATGAATCAACAATGTACATGAAATAAGGTGTTGTTGAATAGAAACACATGTAAAACAAAGTTATGTATTAATGGGTTGGCCATTAAGCTGTGACGGGAATCCAGCCCTGCATTTCCCCTAGAGCAATGGTTGGTATTGGATACTTCAGTGTCCATGGTGATTTTATAGAACATAACTTCTGCAAATAATGAGAACTGACTGTACACAAGGTACTTACAAATTATTTATTGCTTAATAGTTGCAATATACTTATTAACTTTAGAGTGGAGAAAACTGGTAGATATAATCTTATCCAAGTGATAAAAGTTCCCCCAAATGGTAACAAGGCAAAGTCACCCTGTGTGGCCTCTGTTACAAAGCGCTGAGCACAGCATCATTGTGGTGGTATGCCTACAAAATGCATAAATCAGGGCGTGGCGTCATTAAACCCAAGTTGAGTGATAAAGGTCATAAAAGACAAAAAATCTGATGAACTTATCCAGACTGACAGGGATGAAGAAGACACCTAAACTAAATACATGTGACTCTGGATTGGATCTTGGGCATTAATCAGTGACATCTGAATGGGGCCTGTGGTCTAGATGGTGATATAGGATCGATGTGAACTTCCTGACTTTGATGGCTGCCTGGTGGTCACACAGGAAAGTGTGCTTATACTTAGGAAACACACTTGAAAGTATTAGGGGCAGTAGAGTATCATGTCTTCAACTTCTCCGATGGGTTAAATGCCAGCAATTGGAGAATCAGAGTGCAGGGGACATAAGAGTTCTGGGTGCATCTTCTGTGGCTTTTATGTGATATCAAAATTATTTCAAAAACACAAAGTTTTAAAACCTTAGTTAGCAAAGATGTTGTTACATCCATCAATTTGCAGGCAGATACCTGGTTTTTATGCTGCCGGACAAAGTTTAGGTAGGTTTCTTGGTGTCATTTGTAACTACATCATTGTAAAATCAAAGAAGCAGCGAAAAGCATGATGGAGGAGAGACATGACGGTGACCATTTTCTTAAATCACTGAATAAGAAATCCTACAATAAAGACAGGCTGGCACTAAAACTGCAAGGCTTTAGTATATTTGCAATGGTGTGTGACGACCACCTCTCTCTAGTATGCGTTTCAAAGTATGTGTTTTCATTGTAAGTCAATGTAAGCATCTATGTTCAGGAATGAGGCTGGAATTCATTTTTATTTTGTATTTCATACTTTTATGTATTTTCTAAATTTTCTACCATGAGCATGCACTACTTTTATATTCCAAAAACAATCCAAAAACTCTTAAATTTTGAAGGGATGCAACAATATGTCATTTTACAAGAGAAGTCTTCCCTGGCTCAGGCAGCTGACTTAGAAGTCCCTTCCCCCTCTTTCTTCAAACTTCCTTAGAATGTGACATCTCCATTTTAAGATTTATGTTCTATTATATGTATTTCCCTTTGACCTCCCTTTAAGGACATGGACTGTAACTTTTCATATATGTATCCTGAGTTCTTCATCCTATAGCAGTTGCTCAATAAAAATATTTATACAAGAGAAAAATAAACAAAGAAACAGAGAAGTTTCCTCAAGATAAATATTGCCAGGCATATATCTCAATAATTAGAATGATATTTGGGTACCAGTCTAGTCCTTTCCTCAAAGTCTTAC